TGTGTTTAAGTGCAGTGGGAGCCCATTAGGGTACCTATTGGGAAATGAGTGTATAACGTGGACCCCTGGTCCAGAACAAACTTATAAAAAGGATCGTGTTGCCTAGCAGTGGAGCTCTGAGGGAGTGTTTGCATACGCACGGCCCTGGGGTTTCATACCCAATGCTTCAGAAAGGAGGACAATTTGGACACAGAGGGAGCCACCACCCCATGAAGGCTGAAGTTGGGATGATGCCTCCACACACTAAGATTACAGTGAACAGTCAGCAGCTAGGGAAAGGCGTGGGTCAAGTCCTCCCTCCTAGTACTTCAAGGAACTAACTCAGGTGACTCCTTGATCTCTGACTTCCAGTCTCTAGAACCTCAAGGGAATAACCTTGTTGTCATCTGAGCCACTCAGTCTGGGAGCTTTGTCCCACAGCCTTGGTGCAGTGGTGCACACCAAGTACTACCCATTGCAGAGATGAATGGCTGTCAGGTTGGATCTTGAAGGTTGGCTCTTAACTCTTCTTACTTAGGAATCAAGAAATGAGTTCAGGCCCTCCCATTTCTCAGGGTCACCCAGCAGCAAAACTAGGACTGGAACTCAGGTGCGTGAAGCAGGCAGCCCTTGGCTGCTGTGCTGTGGTTTTCTGCCTGCCTGAGTTCCATGTTCCAGGTCGATCTCAAGTTCTCCCCTGAATCTGCAGGTCATGGCACCTCAAACTTTAGCTGCTGTTGGCACAGAGGACATTTTATCATCCAGGCCAGTGGCTTGAAGGACAGATGACTACCTGTCCTGCTTGGGCTTTTATCAACTTGACACAAACCTAAACAGATCGAGTAAGAAGGAAGACCAGTTGAGAAAATGTGTCTAACAGATTAGCTGTAGGCAAGTCTGTGGAGCCTTTCTTTTCTTTTCTTTCTCCTCTCTTTCTTCCTTTCATCTCAGCTTCACTCAGACCCAAAGTGTCAAAATGGTGGCGGGGCGGGGGACACTTTCTTGATTGATAATTGGCCTGGAAAGGCCCAGATTACTGTGGCAGTGCCTCCCCTGGGCTGGTGGTTCTGGCTGGTATAGGAAAGGAGGCTGAGCAAGCCACGGGGGACCAAGGCAGTGAGCACCCTCCATGGGCTCCGCTCCAGGCCTAGTGCGCATGCTCCTGCCTTGGTCACAGGCTCCGCTCCAGGACCAGTGTGCATGCTCCTGCCTTGATTCCTGCCTCGACTTCCCTCACTGATCGAGTGTTGCCTGAAAGCTTTAAGCTGAGATAAGCCCTTTCCTCCCAAGTTGTTTTGGTCACAGTGGCTATGGCAGCACTAGAAACCTGGCTAAAGCATTGCCTCCTCAGATGCATCCTCTCCCCTCCTTGCTTTGTGCCCCAAGTTCAGCCTGCCCCGCCCCAGGAGCTGAGAAGGTCGATATTGGTGTTGTCATATGACCCACATTCTACACCCATGACTGGCTCACAGGTGTTCTTGAAATTTCTGCCTCTTTCACATGTCACAGGTGCTGTTCTGGCAGCTTCAGCTAGAGCGGGTGACCTGCCAACTAGAGAAAACGCTTTGGCATACAGGCCCCGGCATTGTGATGGACAAGGGACTTCACTGGATCTTTCTTGCTCCATCCCTACACCATAGTTTTGTATTGGTCTCAACCTTCAGGTATCTTCTTAGCTAGATAGATGCCACTGTATGTCCCTCCAGCTATGTAGGTCTTAGTTTTGGTGACACTGGAGAGTGGCTTGGACAGTGTCTGTCTGGCACAGAACCTAGCAAGTGGCCTCATATCTGGGCCTGCCTGGCAGAGAGAAATTTTAGCTCCTAGGACGTTAGGGCTCAACACCTAGCCATTCAAGGGTGATCTCAAAAAAACTGGGGCCTGAGTCACCCCTCACACCCTACTCTCCAGGAAGGGGTGGGGGGCAGGAGATGAAGAAAGCTGAGCAAGGAGTACCTGACTAACTGCTCTTGAGATCCAGGATCAGAAAAGACATGGGCTGGGGTCTGGGGCCGTGAGATCACCCTTAGATTTTTGCCTTTTTCTTCATCAAGCTAAGAGGTCTCCAACCGTTCCCAAGAAGCACTGTGCTGGGTCAGGAGAGTCTGGGGGCCATAGAGCGGTCCTTCTGCTTCTGCCCAGCACGGGGCCTTTGCCTATGCTCTTGTCTCATCCGACTGCTCCTCTCACCTCTTCCCTACATGGCCAGACAGAGGCTGCTGTGTTCTTTTCAGACACTGTTCCCTGTCCATTGTTCCCACTCTGCCTCCCGTTCCCTTATCACCAAGCTCACTTGGCCTGAGATCAGACTGGGGGCCTGAGAGGGAAATCGAGGCAAGAACTGCCAGGGTGATGGAGACAGGCAACAGGTGAGCATGGAATTGAAAAGTTCCTTTAATTGGTTGGGTGGGAGGCAGGACAAAGGGTATTTAAACTTTTGGGAAGTGAGTAGGGGCTATAGGGTGAGTGTACGTCATTGGCCTGGGGCTAGGGTGCTCGGGGTGCATAAGGAGGAGTCCCACATGCTGCTGCACAGGGCTGTTTGCTTACCAGGCTACGTGACTTCCTCTGGTGGGTCAAAGGTGGGGGCATAGGTCACGGGTCACAGGTCATGAGTCTGTGCACTGGGACATGCAGGCCCAGGGCAGGGGGGGAGGATCAGGATGGGACTTCCAGGGTTTGAACATGCCTCCACCTGACTCATGCTCCCCACAAATCCATGGCTTCCCCAGCCCCACAGTTCCCATTGGATATTTCTTTCTTTGACCGTTTTAGTCTCTTAATGGTCAGGCTTGGGAAACATGGGCATCTTCATTGAACTAATGTCCCCATGTTACACAAGCAAGGCCTGGGCTTCGGAAGCCAGGAGAGGTGCGCCACGATTGGAAACCCTGTCTTGTCTGTAACTTAGGTCCTATATCCTTGATGATCACCTTCCCTGCCTGTTGGAAGATAAACTCTCCCAGGTGAGATCTAACCGTGACCTCTGTAACAGGGAGTCCCAGATTGGCTCTCAGAGGAGATAGTGTTGAACTGAGCCTCTTAGGTGGAAATGGTAAAAGAACATTCTGGATGAAGGAGATCACCAAAGGACAGTCACAGAGGTGAGAAAGGAAAGGAGCCACGAGGCAACAAGTTTCAAAGAGATTGAGGTCAGATCATCAAGGAACAGGTCCTGACACTGGGCCATCTTTTCTGTGCTGACTAGTTTTATGTCAACTTGATCCAAGCAAGTGTTACTGGAGAGGAGAGAGAAAAGGTTTCTATTAGATCAGGCTGTAGACAAGCCTGTAGGGCGTTTTCTTAATTAGTGATTGATGTGGGAGGGCCTGGACCATAGTAAGTGGTGTCACTGTTGGGCTGGTGGTCCTGAGTTCTATAAGAAAGCAGGCTGAGCAAGCCACGGGGAACAAGCCAGTAAGCAGGACCCCTCCATGGCCTCTGTGTTAGCTCCTGCCTTTCCTGAAAGATGGGGAAGAGAGCTTATTTGGCTTACTTCCACAGCACCGTTCAGCATCAGAGGAAGTCAGGGCCAGAACTCAAACCTCACAGGCTTGCCTACAACCTGATCTTATAGAGACATTTTCTCAACTGAGAATCCCTTCTCTCAGATGACTTCACATTGTGTCAAGTTGACACAAAACTATCCAACACAATGTCAAATACATAGTGCATATTGACAATTCAAAACATGAAGACTAAGACCTAGGCTAGTCTGTGCTACATAGGGAGACTCTGCCGTAAAAAATCATCATTTATTACGTAATCAGACAGTAACACAGGTAATACCACTGTGACATCGTACTGTCACTTAAGTACACTTTGTGCAGCCACATAAGCGAGTCACCTGAGGACACATTTCTCAGAGTGTGTGTATCTTGTCATCAGAAATCCCACACTCTCATTGTCAATTTGACTGGATTAAGAATCACTGAGCTAGCCAGGCAGTGGTGGCACATGCCTTTAATCCCAGCACTTGGGAGGCAGAGGCAGGCAGATTTCTGAGTTCGAGGCCAGCCTGGTCTACAGAGTGAGTTCCAGGACAGCCAGGACTGCACAGAGAAACCCTGTCTCGAAAAACCAAAAAAAAAAAAAAAGAGAATCACTGAGCTGACACACCTCTGGTGTGTCTATGAAGAGGTTTCCAGTGTGTATGGTGTGTGTGTTCAAGTGTATTGTATGCCCGTGTGTGAAGGCCAGAGGTTGGTGTTGAGTGTATTTTTCAATTACTCCATCTTATTTTTTGAGACGGGGTCTCTCGCTGAACCTGGAGCCCTCTAATCAGCTAGACTGTCTGGCCAGCAAGCCTCAAGGATCCCCCTGTCTCTTTCAGGTTTACAGATGTATACCACTATACATGGCTTTTAAGTGGGTGCTTGAGATTCAAACACAGGTCCTGATGCCACTCACTGTACCTATTGAGCCATCGCCCCAATCCGGGGAACATTGGTCTTCATTGTAAATCCATATGGAGCATAAATCAAAAGGCCATTTCCCACTGTGCATGTTGCCCACCTGACATCCCAGTACTTGGTAACCAGAGGCAGTTGAAGGTCCTTCTAGTCTACATAATGAGTTTGTGGCCAGCCTGGTCTACATGAGATCCTGTTTCAAAGACCAAAACACAGGCTAGTTAAAAGGCTTTGATGATGATGCTTGCTCACCAAGCCTGAAGACATGAGTTGAATCTTCAGGGCCTACACGGTGGAAGGAGAGAATCTACTTTCATAAACTGTCCTCTGACCTCCACACATGTACTGTGGTACACTTGTGCGCGCACACACACACACACATGCACATTAGTTAAAACAAAGAAAAACAATGACCGTTTGTTTTGATATTTTACTGGAAGTGGTAAACATATCAGTAATCTTGGCACTTAAAAAACAGACGCAGGAGGATTACTAGGAGTTCAAGCTCATCTACATAGCCAAATGTCAGGCCAGTTAGGACTACATGGTGAAACTCTATCTCAAAAAAAAATAAAAGTAAGAAATAATAATAATGACAATCTTTTTCAGGTTGAATAATATTCTGTTGTATGGATCTGTTACAGTTTATATTTAAAGGAACTTTAAAGAGACATCAGCAGAAACTGTCATTGACTTGTGAGGTGAGCCAGTTGCTTCTCTTTTGGAGTCTTGGGGTGCAGCCTATTCAACTCTCAATTAAGACCGTGTAGCAGTGTCACCTTTTAAGATCCACCTGAGAAAAACATTTCCTGAGGTAACTGATTCAAAAAGTGAGGAGACTGTCTGTCCTATGAAATACTGTGTAACCATTCTAAAGGGCGGAGCAGAACCTGCTGGAACAGAGAGCTCTCCGAGCCACACCCAATATGGGATGACCAGAATAGTTGCAGAATCATGTGGCCATTCGCTGAACAAGGCAATGTTGGCACTTGTGTTTTATAAGACTTTTAACATAAGCATATGTTATATAATATGAAATATTTACATATGATAGTATATTTGCATGTATTACATATGCTTGTATGTGTTTCACTGTATGTGCATGAAAACACTTTGGAAGAGTTGACAAGGTAGCCAGGTTTGATGGCACATACCTGTAATCCCAGGACTCAGGAAGCTGAGACAGGAAGATTGATAGTTCAAGGCTACCCTGGGCTACTTACAAAGACTCTTGTTTCACTCTTCACTTGTGTTCCCCCTAAAAGTCTGCAAGGTGAGTCTGGAAGCAGTACCTCTGTGCCCAATTCATGAGTGATGTGCAGAAGCCACCCATGTGTCCATGCTCAGATGGACAGTTATACAAACCAGGACAGACTCACACAATAGGGTCTTATTCAGCCTGAAAAAGATTACTACTACTACTATTATTATTTATTTCTTTATATTTTTTGAGATAGGGTTTACTATGTAGTCCTGACTGACCTGACATTTGGCTATATAGGCAATGCTGAACTCCCAGCAATCCTCCTGGCTCTGTTTTCCAAGTGCTGACATTACTGATATGTTTACCACTCCCAGTAAAGAATGATAGTCTGTCTCATGCTGTGCTCTTCATGGCTTGGAGATTGACCTAACTGGGGCTGCAAGAGAATGAAGAAATGTCAGACACCGAAGAAACAACGGACGCACATACGGAAAAGCTGGGATCCTCTCTGATGGGTAAGCCACAGCATCCAGGAAACTCAGTGTGCTTATTAGAGGCGAAGTTAATCATTTACAGATGGACAAGGAGGTGGGTGTAGCTAACCTCCATAAGAGCTGGCTCCGTGGGGAGCAGTCTTCATATAGTAAACTTCTGGGGGAAGAAAGACAGGGTAGACATTTTCAGCACACACTGCCAGCATTTGCTGTGGTGGTTTGAAGGAGAATGTTTCCCACAGGCTCGTATTTGAAAGCATGGACCCTAGTTTTTGAACTGTCTGGGAAGGATTAGGAGGTGTACTCTTGTTGGAGGAGGTGTGTCCCTGGCTTGAATGTTGAGATTTCAAACCGCATATGGCAGTCTCTCTCTCTCTCTCTCTCTCTCTCTCTCTCTCTCTCTCTCTCTCGGTCTCTCGCTCTCTCTCTCTCTCTCTCTCTCTCTCTCTCTCTCTCTCTCTCTCTCTCTCTCTCTCTCTCTCTCTCTCTCTCTCTCTCTCTCTCTCTTTCTCTCTCTCTCTCTCTTTCTCTCTCTCTCTCCTTCCCTCTCTCCATCTCTTTCTCCCTCCCTCTTCCTTCCCCTTCCCCTCTCCCTCTCTCTGCCTTATGTCTGTAGATCAGATGCAAGCTCTTAGCTACTGCACTGGCACCACAGTTGCCTCCTGGCTGCCACAGTCCCTGCCACATGGTGTAGACTGTAGGCCTCTGGAAATGTGAGGCCCTATTAAACACTTTCTTTTATTTGTTGCCTTGGTAATACCAATGGAAAACCAACTAAGTCAGAAGTTGCTATGAGGTAATGGAGTATTGCTGTGACAGGTTTTGGCTAGGAACGTGGATTGTCCAGCTGGGTTTTGGTCTTCCAGTATTTCCTCACTACACTTCCTTTCTTCCATTTTGGAATAGTTATGTACATTCTGTGCCATTTTATGTTGGAAATACATAATTTGGTATTTGATTTAAAAGGGAGTTAGAATTAATAAATAACCTTGAGTCTCAAAATAGGCTCTGGACTTTTAAACAGTGTTGAGGCTGTGAAAGTCTGTGGGGGCTTTTGAAGTTGGGCTGATTACATTTTGTACTTTGATATGGCCACAAGCTTATGGGAGTGGGTCAAGAAGTGGACTGTGGTGGTTTAATTGAGAATGGCCCTATAGGCTCATATATTGAAATGCTTGTTTCCCAATTGGTGGAATTGTTTGGGAAGGATTAGGAAGTGTGGCCTTGTTGGAGGAGGTGTGTTCCTGGGGGTGGGCTTTGAGGTTTCAAAAGCCCGTGCTATTCTCCATTAGACCTCACCCTCTCCTGCTAGTGATTGAAGATCAAAATGTAAGCTCTCAGCTACTGCTCCAGTCCTGGGCCTGCCTGGACGCTTGCTGCCATGCTCCTGACCACAAAAGTTATGGACTCTAACTCTCGGAAATCATAAGCCTCAAATTAAATGCTTTCTTTTATAATTTGCCTTGGTTGTGGCATTTTGTCATAGCAATTGAAGAGTAGACACACCCAAGTTGAGAAGGGAGGTCACCGTTACCATTTCCCTGAGCCTAGCCTGGGGGAGGGTTTGCCATTTTCCTGTTCATCTGAGGCTTTGATCCTTGACATGGTCAGCTCGTGTCAGCAACACACATTCACTCAGGACTTCACTTGCTCACCTACAGACACAAGCATCAGTGTGGCTGAGCCTCGAACTGGGTGCAATGAACACACACAGATGGATCTTACTCTATGAAGATTACATGGACCAATCATGATCCCACTCACAGGAACTTCTTAGAATCGTCAAATTCTCCGTTTTAGAAAGCAGGAAAGTCTCTGATAGAAGAATGGGAGGAAGGATTGTGGGCCCCAAAAGGGATAGGAGGAAGACCAACTAACCTGGACCCTTAGGGCTCTCAGAGTCTGAACCACCAACCAAAGAACATACACGGGCTGGACCTAGGCCAATCATATGTAGTAGATATGCAGCTTGATCTTCATGTGGGTCCTGAACAATTGGAACGGGGGCTATCCCAAAAACTGTTGCCTGTACGTGGGATATGTTCTACTAGCTGGGCTGCCTTGTCTGGCCTCAGTGGGAGAGGAAGCACTTAGCCTAGCAGAGACTTGAAGTACCAGAGTTGAGGGAACACCCAGGGATGCCTTCACCTGCTCAGAGAAGAAAAGGCTGTGGGTTTGGGAAGGATTGTGGGAGGGGGTGACTGGGAGGAAGTAGTGAAAGGGATGTAACTGGAGGGTGTGCCTAGGGGAAGGGAGATGGGGTATTTGGAAATGGCGATTCTGTTTTACAAAAGGACAAGAATTCTGGAGCTGGGGGTATAGCTTGGCCTGTGCAGTGCCTACTGCACAAGCATGAGGACCTATGTTTGAACTCCCAATCTGTAACTCCAGTGCTGGGATCCCAGAGACAGGAGGATGCCTGAGACTCACTGGGCAGCCAGCATAGCCAAAACAGTGAGAGACATTGCCTTGAAAATAAGGTGTAGCAATTGACGAAGACACCCACTGTCACCTCTGGCCTACACACACATGCAAACACATATGTGCATACTAGCTCCTGATCTGGGTGGACCTGTTGCTTTTAATCACTAGGGAGCAGGCAGCCCACCACAGCAGAGCAGGTGCTGAGCCAAACCTTTCATCACAAACAAATGAAAGGGAGAAAAGGCCAAGGTTCCACCATCTCTGTTGTTACTATTTGAATGTGAAATACTTCCACAGACTTGTGTCTGAACACTTGGTACCCAGGTGGCTCCAAGGCTGGAGGTCTTGCTGGCTGAAATTTGATGTTGGGGTTACCTTAAATGTGCTTTCTGCCTCTAGTTCCTGACTGTCTATGACCTTATCAGATGGGATCTCCCAAGACACTCATCGAGGTCCTGCTGCCACGGATGGAACCTGAGCTGCCATGCCTTCATAACAGGCAAGCACACCTATTGCCAGGCCTGACTACCTGAGTTTGATTCCCAAGACCCACATGATGGAAGGAGAGAACCGACTCTTACAAACTGACCTCTGCCCTCCAGACAGGTACTGTGGCGCCTCTGCTTCCCAATCCAAATAAATAAATCTTGTAACAAAAAAAATTAGAAGATTTGTTTTGATTTATGGTTTGGGAAATTTCTGCCCATGGTGTGTGTAGGTTTGGAGCAGAGCACCTCACATCATGGTGGTCCAGAGGCAGATCAAGAATGCCTGTGATGGCTGGCTTCCTTTCTCCCATACTCTATTCACACCCCCCAGTCTATGAGATAGAGCCAAAAAATTGAGGGCAGGTCTCTCCCTACTTAGTTAGCCTCTCTGGAAACACACACACACACACACACACACACACACACACACACACACACACA